TCACCGGCGGGGGAAGGCCAAATTGAAGAGACACAGTGGATCCTGTCGGTAGATGGAGCCTCAAACCTTGGAGGAAGTGGAGCGGGGATTGTCTTGGAAGGACCAGGAGGAATTTTGCTGGAACAATCATTGCGATTTGAGTTCTGGGCAAGCAATAACCAAGCCGAGTATGAAGCGTTGTTGGTCGGTATGACATTGGCAAAGGAAATGGGGGCGACAAGTTTATCAGCACGAAGTGACTCCCAACTGATCACGGGGCAGGTAGCCGGCACCTTCCAGGCAAAGGACCCTCAACTGGCTAAGTACTTGGAAAAGGTTATGCTCTTATCGGAAAACTTTTGAGAGTTCACACTTAACCACGTACCACGAGTGCAAAATTCCAGGGCCGACTTGCTCTCCAAGCTTGCAAGCACAAAGAAACCAGGAGCTACTCGGTCAGTCATCCAAGAAACATTGGCACAGCCGAGTATAAACGAGGCCCAAGAAAATATCCTATTCATCCAGGAAGAACTCAACTCGTGGATGGGACCATACATTGCATATCTGACTCGGGGGGAACTATCGGAGGACAAAAAGGAGGCATCGTTAGTGCAAAGGGAGTCGGCCAGGTTCATCGTCATCAACGAAAGGTTGTACTGAAGTGGCTTTAGCTCTCCTCTCCTAAGGTGTTTGACCATACTGCAAGCACAAAAAGTGATGGATGAAATACATAGTGGAATGTGCGGAAGTCATATCGGAGGCCGAGCTCTGGTGTACAAAGTCGCCCGAGCAGTGTACTTTTGGCCATCCTTGAGGAACGACTGTGTCAATTGGGTCCAAAAGTGTGACGGATGCCAGAGACATGCAGCCCTGCACCATTCCCTAGCTGAACGACTACATTCGATATTATCCCCCTGGCCTTTTCACAAGTGGGGGATTGATATTCTCGGTCCATTTTCGATCGCAGTAAGACAAATGAAGTTCTTGATAGTAGCTGTGGATTACTTCAGCAAATGGATCAAGGCGGAGCCAGTTGCAACCATCTCGGCAGAGAAGGTTAGAGCGTTTCTTTGGAAAAACGTAGTGTGCAGGTATGGAGTCCCTCAGATGCTCGTATTCGATAATGGGACACAGTTTGCGAGTGCGAGAGTCCGAGATTTTTGTAAAGAAGTCGGCATCCGGATGGCATTCACTTCCGTTGAGCACCCACAGTCTAACAGCCAGGCAGAGTCGGCCAACAAGGTAACTGCAGCTGACATGCCAGGCATCGATCCAAGTTTCCATTGCCACCGACTCTCAATATGTCGAGACGCCAAGCCCGTCGCTCAAAAGGAGAGAACAATGGGTGGAGAGAGGGCCCAGGTAATAAAAGAAGAGAGCACCAAGCTACTCCAAGCAAGATTCATAAGGGAAGTCAAGTACTCCACTTGGTTGGCCAACGTGGTGATGGTTAAGAAGTCAAATGGGAAGTGGCGGATGTGGCTCGGTGGGTGCGATTCTGCCGGTGAGGTATGCCTTTAGTTCGTCCCGCCAATCAGGGGGGTTGTCATGATCGGCTAGCTCGGCGTCCACATTTGCTACCATCTCGGCTTCGACGCTGGGGTGGTCGATCTCTTGTTGAATGATCGTTCTCAACAAAGGGTAAGTGTCTTTCGGGCATGCTTTGTTCAGGTCCGTGTAATCTGTACACATCCGCCACTTCCCATTTGACTTCTTAACCATCACCACGTTGGCCAACCAAGTGGAGTACTTGACTTCCCTTATGAATCTTGCTTGGAGTAGCTTGGTGCTCTCTTCTTTTATTACCTGGGCCCTCTCTCCACCCATTGTTCTCTCCTTTTGAGCGACGGGCTTGGCGTCTCGACATATTGAGAGTCGGTGGCAATGGAAACTTGGATCGATGCCTGGCATGTCAGCTGCAGTCCAAGCGAATAAATCCGAGTACTTTCATAGGACTTGCTTAATATCCTTAGCCTCTACTTCAGATAGTTGAGAACTCAAAAAAGTGACTTGGTCTTCATTCCTTCCAAGTTGGAACAGAACCGTTGTTTCAATAGGTTCGACCCTATCTTCATCATCCATCCTTGGATCAAGTTCTAGGCCTTCAGCTAACTTCTGTTGGCCAGAATCGCCGATAACGTTGACATCTCGTCTTGGCTTTGGAGTTGGTTTTACTTTCAAATTGGCGAAGTAACATTCACGTGCTGTTTTCTGATCGGCATGCACGGTGATAACGGTCCCTTCCTCTGATGGAAACTTCATGGCCAAATGTGGGGTGGATACGATGGCTCGGAGCTTGTTCAGAGAGGGTCTGCCCAATAGAATGTTGTACGAGGTATTGGCATGCACAACCACATAGTGTACCTTGATTTGCCTACGCTGGTCATCCCCGAAGTAGGTATACAGGTCTATCATCCCTCGAGTGTCCACCCGTTCACCCGAAAACCCCACCAAAGGTTCATCGTAAGGCGTCAATTCTTGTTCCGGAATGCCCAGTTGCTCGAACGTCTTCCAGTACAAGATGTCCGCCGAACTACCCTGATCGACCAGAGTCTTCTTCACGATGCAATTATTGATCTCTACGCTGATGACCATGGGATCATCTTGCACCGGGTCAATGCCTTGAAAATCTTGGTCAGTGAACGTTATAGGGGGAATACGAATGGGGGATGCCCGTCCTATAGCGTTTACCGACTTGATGGCCCTCAAGTGTCTCTTCCAGGCTGAAGATGAGCTTCCTCCTCCTGCGAAGCCTCCGGCAATGGTGTTTATCATTCGCTGGGGCTGATTACGTTCTCGCTGGTCATTTCTATCTTGGGACCTGTTGCGCTCACGGGATCGGTTCCTCAGAGGTGCCCGATCTCGGTTGTCCCTTCTGTACTCCCCTCTTCCAGGGAGGTAGTCGTTCCTTCGGTTGTCTGTCGTCCGAATGAAGTTTTGAAGGTGGCCGGCCTTAACGAGATCTTCGATACGATCCCGAAAGGCAGAGCACTCTTCAGTAGTATGCCCCCTATTTCGATGGAACTGACATGCTTTAGTCTTATCGGCGCGGGGCGGGGTCATAGCTCTTCGAGGAACAACTAGTACTTCCATGGCCAAAGCTTGCTCTAACACCTTGGCCCTGCTGGTGTTAAGTGGCGTGTATTGCATATACCTTGGACCTCTGTTATTCTTCTCACGACCAGTTGTGTCTCGGGGACAGGGCCTGGGAAGCTCCTTGTCGTTTTCTTTTTTGGTGAGAAACAAGTCGAGTCGGTTTTGACTTCGAAACTCAGCCAGTTCCTCCATCTGCATGTATTTTATGGCTCTTTGCCTCAGGTCATCAAGGTCTCGGGGTGGCTTTTTACACAAGCTATTGACGAATGGCCCAGGTCGTAACACTGTGGTTAAGTGATGCATTGCCACAGCTGGGTCCAAATCGCGAATAGATAATGTCATCTTTCCGAACCTCTCCAAGAAAGTTCTCAGAGGTTCCTTCTTCTCCTGGCGGATATTAACCAGCGCTATTGACGTGAGCTGATGCGGACGGCTTGTGGCAAACTGTATCATGAACCGGGAAGATAGGGTCGTGAACGAATCTATCCAGGAGGGAGTCTCGTGAACCAATTGAGCGTTGGCCCTTTCAACGAAGTAGGGAAGACTTTACACATGATTGCATCATCATCGGTGTACAAACCGACCTGAGTAACGAATGCATCAAGATGTTCTTCCGGATCGGCGGTGCCATCATACTTTTCCAGGGCCAAGTTTTTCCAGTTGTCGGGAAGGCGGGCTCCGGTAATGTCCGGGGTGAATGGAGTCCTTCCCTGTCGTTGCTGCTGATCGAGAGTAGTAGTCGTCACTCCCGCTGTAGGCTTTGGGTCCCTCGTTTCCTTGTACCATCCGGACGATTCCCCATGATCCCGGGTTGATTGGGTGTTGGGGATATCATGGGACGGACGCCATTACGGGTTGTCACTTCTAAGCTCAGCATTCTCCTTTCTCAAGACCGTCAACTCATGGGCGTCCTTTTCTCGGAGCCTTTTGAGTTCCATCATTTCGGCCTTCAGTTGCTTGATGGCCGACGACGGGTTAGGTTGTTGAGACCGATCCACATACGATTCTTCCATCCCATCCTCATTCTAGTTAGTTTGCCGCCTGGTGGTGTCTCGGGGCATCCCGAAAGGGTAGTCGGTTGCGTTCTCCTGCTGACTCCTTGTAGTTACCATCTTGCTTCAGGGTCGAGAATCGTTCTGGTTTCGGCCCCACGGTGGGCGCCAAAATGTTCCTGCGTAGAAACACTCCTCTTGTCGTTCTTCCTTCTTGGTCTTCTAAGTCTTTAGTGCCGACCGAATACTGTCTCCGAGGGGTGGGGAAGGTACCTGCAAAGGCACTCCGACGATCAAGTGAGTATTCGGTATAGAGCAATAAATGCTTTTATATGGAATAAATCATACCTCATTTATGTCCCATCACCTGTGTATTTATAGTGACATGTTTGGGCCTGGTGGGCCTTTTGTCTTGGGAGACGGGTAACATTTTACTTAACCTTAATCTTCTCTTAATCAGGCATGGTAATTGTTGCATAATGGGTATCTAATTTTCCACGTGAACGAGGCGCAAGAGAACGTCCTATTCATCCAGGAAGAGCTTAATTCGTGGATGGGACCGTACATCGCATATCTAACTTGGGGGGAATTACCGGGAGACAAAAGGGAGGCATTTTTGGTGCAAAGGGAGTCGGCCAGACCCTGCTTGTATTGAGGGGAGTATACGCTGTATAGCGGGGTCCTCTCGGAGGGCGGGTGTTTAGGGGTTCGGCGTTGGTCTTCCTCACTGGTTCTCGTCCGGGTTCTTTTCGGCTATAACCCTCCTCGGCTCTGTCCTGATTCCGGGTCTCTGCCAACTCCTCCATTTGCATGTATTTTTCTGCTCGGCGTCGGAGGTCATTAATATCCGACGGCGATTTTTTGCACAAACTGTTTACGAAGGGTCCGGGCCTGAGTGCCGTGCTCAGCCGGTCCATTGCCACGGCAGGGTTGAGGTCGCCGATTTCCATTGCGATTTTATTAAACCGGTCCATGAAAGTCCTCAGACTCTCTTTTTTCTCTTGACGAACCCCCGCTAAGGCTAGTGAGGTCGTCCTGTACGGCTTGCTCGTTGCGAACTGGAGAGTGAATTGGGAAGACAGTTCGTTGAACGAGTCGATGGAAGAGCTCGGTAACCTTGTGAACCAAACCAGGGCCCTTCCTTTCAGAGACGTGGGGAATATTCGGCACAGAGCCGAGTCGTCTTGAGTGGAGAGAGTTGCTTGAGTCAAGAAAACATTCAAGTGCTCTTCTGGATCGGAGGATCCGTCGTACTTCTCAATTGGCATGCTCTTCCAATGGTCCAGCAGTGTTGCCTCCATGATTCTTCTGGAAAAAGGATGCCTTAGGGAGTGAACGGTGGTGTCGGCCTTGTTGGCTATCAAAGAAGTGACTGGGGTTCGGGTGACCTGGTCTGTTGGGGCGTGATAGGCGGACTCTTCCACGAGTGTGGGAGTGGACGGCACGTATGTTCGGTTCAGATGCCAGAGCTCGGCGTTCTGCCGGCGTAGCTCGGACAGCTCTCGGGCGTCGGCTTCTCTTTGCCTTTGGATGGTCGCCATTTCCTCGCGAAGTGCTCGCAAGTCGTCTTGAAAGTTCGGTTGAGTTTGACTGGTGTTCGGCTGGACTTGCTGTATCACAGGTTCCGGTTGGGTCCGAGGCATCCCGTACGGGTAGCGCTCTTGGTTGTTCATGACGGGGTTGGTTTCGGGGTTAGGAATTGGGTGTGTCGTTGTCGATTGTCCTTTGCGCGTTGTTACCATATCTCGGTCTCAGTCGTAGAGTAAAAAGGGGCTGAAAACGTCTCTCGTGCCCCACGGTGGGTGCCAAATGTTCCTGTGTTAGGAAACACACGTCAATTATCCTTGTTGTAACGGGTCGGATCTTAGGTCTCGGTCTTCTCGTTCCTATCCGGGTAGTCCGATGTGGGGGGTGTGCCTGTAAAGACACTCCAACGCTCAAGTAAGTGCTCGGCGTAATAAATGCGGTAGTTGAAAGTTAGTTACGTACCTCGTTGGGACTCTATTTATAGGACTTCTTATTGGGCCGTGATTAGGGACTGGGCCCCGGGAAATTAGGGGGCTAATCCAATGCATTACGTTAATTAAGCTCTTTGGAATCATCTTGGGGCCAACACATGGTTTTGGCCGAGCATACCGACGTACTCCGTTCGAATACTCGGGTGATCGGTATGTTAGGGTATTCGGTCAAGTGTTTGAGGGTATCCGGTCCAAGTGTTCGAGGGGTCGGGTGTTCGGCCCGAGTATTCGGAGGGTCGGGTGTTCAGCCCGAGTATTCGAGGGGTCGGGTATTCGGTCAGATCGGCCCCCATACGGTATAGTTAATGAAATGTATCATTTTATAAAACTGTGTTTTTATTCATGACAACGTAAAAGTATGAAAGGTTATATCTCTTTTTTAAAAATGTGAATTCTTCCGTGAAAATACGTGTATATTTATGAAAAAAAATGCAAATATAAATTGTTTTATCCTTTTATAAAAGTGGGTGTTCTTTTATGGAAGGATGAGTTTTCTCATCAAAACTCATGATACATATTTCTTTGAAGAGTTGTCTTTTCACTAAAAGGCATAAAATGTTATATTTAAATAAACCAGAATACTTATAAAAAAAATTATAACATTGTGAGAAACTATAATTTTTGCATTCAAATAACTTCTTTTCTTTTCTCATTTGCGCTCAAAAAGAATAAAAAAAAATGTTATTTTGTAAACTATCATTGATTGTAAGATCGATGACAAATATATAAATCATGTCAAGGGTCTCCATAATAAGGATATTCACCAACCGAACCAATTTAATGTCAACCACACCAACTAATCCAAAAAATTAAATAAAAAAAAATCGGAAAAAAATGCAAATTGAAAAACAAAAAAAAACTGTAAAAAAAAGTTTTTATTAGGTTTGATTTCTATAATGCATGTGAGAATCGACCCAATCCAAATTGCATTGAAATATTATACTATTAACATTAAAATTACTTTGTTGTCCATATTGATATACCTATTTGTAATGTATATAATTAGATGCTTTTGTCTAAACCTATTTCTTTTAGCAAGATAGTTGTAATCCCAATTTGTAATGTGCATTGTTATATTCTTATATCAACAAATTTCAATCCGGATATTGGTGCAAAGGCACCCAAAGTCACAAACGTACAAAAGTAAAGAATTGAATGATGTACACCTTTATTTATTTATTTTATTCAGTTTCTGGTCAAGCCATTGTTTTATAACTTACTTTAATATTTACCCTTTTAATTATTATATCTTTTTTTCTTTACTAGCTCACAATTGTAATATACTTGTGAATTTCACTTTCACAAAAAAATAATAATAATTGGGATTTCATGTGTAACACGCTAAGTTTTTAATTATTGATTTTTAGCAATAATTATGTATCTAGTGCTTAATGTATGTTGTGGAGCTTTGAGAGTTTAAAAACTCTCAAAAATCTAGTTAATTTTGAGGGTTTCTAGTTAGAGGTTCAATTGATCATAAAGAAGGGAAGTATATAAATTTTTTGTTGAGAACTGAATCTCATAAGTTAATGTTTTTTAAGACCTAGAGAGAAACTTCTAGAGAGAGACACTAATTTTTGAAGCTTTCTTCGTCTCTTATTCCTTCTAGGTTCCTTTAGTGTGTGAAGATCATTGCTAAGAATCAAGTTTGTGGTTTTGTGTGGAGCTTCCCCAAAACTCAGAGTTTTCTACTTCCTTTTTCCTCTTTTTCAAATTGATTGTGAGGTAAGAGAATCTAGACCACCTCTTGTAGTAAGTTGGAACTAAATGCATTGATTTGGTTGCAATTGCATGGGTGAATTGCATGATCTGGCTTGGGGTTGTTGGACCTTAGGATTTTGGTTTACAAGAGAAGAATTTAGTGGAATTGATATATATTTTGTTGCATGTGTGATTTGAACTTGGATTTGAGTTGTAGATGGGGTGTTTGTATGAAATGTTGTAATCCCATGTTTGTGTTGGTTGATTTTCAGGTGAATGAGACAATTTTTGTGATTTGCATTATGCAAAAATCACAGTCACACTATGCATGCCTTCGTGGTGCTATGTGCGGTTCCAACCAAATGTATTTGTTTCGTTCACATCATAGGATCGATGGCTCTAAATATGAGAAGAAAGACTCATCTTTGGTTTGAATGACAATCTTAGATCTCTCGAGTCATAAGTTTTATTGATAACAAACATAGGCATTTTTCTAGATAAATTTTTTTCAGATCATTCATTAAGGCATATGAGTTTAAGACAATTGCACTAAGATGATTAGTTATTTTGACATAAAAAGTCTAACAGACAAAATACTTCATTTGTAAGACATTTATTTTGAATTCATATCATTTATGATGTCTCATAACTAAATTAATTTATATGTACATGATTCCTTAACAGATTAAAGTAAAATAATTGGTACCCATAATAATAGAATCTTTTCATTAGAAAAAGATAA